CCCGGGGCTAGTGCGGACATCGTGGCCCTCGTCCACGATCTCTGCACTAGGCACAGGAAAGTGGCCGTCTAGGGCAGGAGAGCTGCCAGCCTGGCCACCCAGGACCAGGTGTGCATGAAAATCAAGGGGGTCCACTGAGACCCCCGACACTGAGCCCTGAGCTTACAATGGCCGTACTGGGTCAGACCAAAGGTCCATCTAGCCCAGTAGCCTGTCTGCCGACAGCGGCCAACCCTAGGGACCCTGGAGGGGATGGACCGAAGACAGTGATCAAGCCATTTGTCTCGTGCCATCCCTCTCCAGCCTTCCACAAACTTTGGGCAGGGACACCACTCCTACCCTCTGGCTAATAGGACTCCATGGACCCAACCTCCATGACTTGATCTCACTTCCCTTTAAACTCTGTTCTAGTTGTAGCCTTCACAGCCTCCTGCAGCAAGGAGTTCCACAGGTTAACTATTTGCTTTGTCAAGAAGAACAACTTTCTCTTACTAGTTTCAAGCCTGCTACCCATTCCTTTCCTTTGGTGTCCTCTAGTCCTTCTTTATGGGAACTCAGGAAGAACTTTTCTGAATGCACCCTCTCCACCCAACCCCTGCTTTTAGAGACCTCTATCCTGTCCCCCCTCCGTCTCCTCTTTTCTAAGCTGAACAGTCCCAGTCTCTGTAGCCTCTCTTCATCTGGGACCTGTTCCCAACCCCTGATCATGTTAGTTGCCCTCCCCTCTCCCAGCCTTTCTCTTCCCCTCTCCCACCTCCTTTTCCCAGTCTCCCCCAGTTTTTTTCAATAAAGACAGAGTCAATGTTGGAAGAAACGTTATCTTTATTTTGTACATCAATAAGAAGGGGGGCTAGGGAAGGGTAAGTGGAAGGAGGTGAGGGAGGAATGGGGTACGAGCCCCCGATGGGGAGGACTGGGCTGGCTCTGCGGGCTTCTGGGGGTGGAAGCTCTCCTGCAGCCCCCCAATTACTCCCTCTCCCCAGATGGCAGCCTGCGGCAAGTGCAGCCGGGCTGATGGCCGAGTGGTGTGATGTGCCCAGTGTGGGCACTCAGGGCACTCCAAGCCAGAACTTCTTTGCAAGCGGGGCACCCCTTAGAACTGTGTGTCCGGGGTGGGGGTCGGGACCCTTTAAGCGCAGCCCTCGGCTAGCCTGAGACAGTATCTCCATGCTCTAAGTCCTCCTTTTATGCCCTGCCGGCACTGCTTCCGGCCATCCTTAAGCCCTGTTCAGAGTCCACTCAATGTGGACTTACTAGTTCGAACTAGCAAAACGCTAGTTCGAACTAGTTTTTAGTTCTAGATGCGTTAGTTCGAACTAGCTTAGTTCGAATTAACTAATTCGAACTAAGTTAGTTCGAACTAGCGCTGTAGTGTAGACGTACCCTGAGCTAAAAGCCAGCTGGCTCCCAGCCTCTGCTGTAGAGGTCTCTTGATCTTCACTGTTGCTGTGGTCTAGGTGCCACTTACATTGCTCAGTAACCACACCAGGTGTGTGTGGGTTACACCTACATTTTCCTTCCTTTTGTTTCCCTCCAGTCCTCTTCGTGACGACAAAGGAGGGGGGGCTGGAACAGTTTGGTTGGGGGGTGCTGAGCATTGCGGGACCAAACTGGGAACCCTGGATTGACTAGAAACTCCTTCAAGCCACACTCATGCGTTCTAGCCCCGACGTGCTATGATGCCCCTGTGTATTTTGCTGTCCTGGCCCAAATCCCTCTGCTTCCTAGCAGCTGCCCCTGCTGAGCTGGAGTGTGCAGCTTCCGGGCCTGATTGTGATCAGCCGTCACACGGAGGCTGGGCTGCACGAAATCTGCCCTCCCTGCCTCGGCCATCCAAGGAGCAAGGGCCCCTCCTCCTGCCACTAAGAAAATTGCCCAAAGAGGCGTGGCAACAAGGACATGTGGCCATAGCCCTGACACAGGCACGCGCACACACACGCACACACACACACACAGCGTCAGGAGAGGCCCAGCCTGCTGGTGTGCTCCCATGAGGCTCTGCAGCATCCCGCACACAGGGCGGGGGACAAATTGTACGATCTGGCCCTTCGCTCTTTTAGGGACTGGTCCAAAGTCAATGGACAGACTCCCGCTGATTTCAACGGACCCGGGGTCAGGCCCTTTCATCCTCACTCTGGCCACAGCTGCACTCCCGGGCCGATGGACGCTCCGGAGGTGGATCTTGCGGTGTTCGATTGAGCAGATCTGGTAAGTTGGGGGACGGGACGGTCCCAGTTTGGCCAATGGGAGCTGAGAAATTGTACTGGGGGACGGAGACAGTGTGCAATGCTGCCCTCCCTTCCCTGCAGTGCAGAGAGCCACATGGAACAGCCAGCCGCTTTGAGCAGTCTGCGGTTGCTGGCAGGCAGGGGGACCTGCTGGAGAGACCTGCTGGGCTGCTGGCTGGGTGCTGCTTAGGTAAATGCCTCCTAGCCAGAGCCTGCCTCTGGCACCCCACCCTCTCCCACACCCAACTCCCTCCCAGACTCTGCACCCCCTCTTATGCCCTCCCCCCAGCCCAGAATCCTCTCCTGCATCCATACCCCCCCCCCCACTCTGCACCCCCCCCCCTCCCAGACTCTGCACCCCCTCTTATGCCCTCCCCCCAGGCCAGAATCCTCTCCTGCATCCATACCCCCTCCCAGACTCTGCACCCCCTCTTATGCCCTCCCCCCAGGCCAGAATCCTCTCCTGCATCCATACCCCCTCCCAGACTCTGCACCCCCTCTTATGCCCTCCCCCCAGGCCAGAATCCTCTCCTGCATCCATACCCCCTCCCAGACTCTGCACCCCGATCTTCTGCCCCAGGTCACAACCCCCTCCTTCACCTGAACTCCCTCTCAGACCCCACACTCTCTCCTGCCCCAAACTCCCTTCTGCACCCAGCCTCTGTCCCAGACCCTGCATCCCCTCCATAGAAAAGTGAGCCCCCTTACCAAAAATCTTGCAATGCCCTCCCA